CCTGTGACCTTGCCCACGCCACTTTCCTTCCGAACCTCAGTTTTATCAGCAATAAAGTGAAGCTAATTATTCCCACTTGCCACGGGGCCATTAGAATCTATGAAATCGTTTGTATCAACTTTTAAAAAATGTGCAGGCCGGGCGCGGTGGCTCACGCCTGTAATCCTAGCACCCTGGGAGGCCGAGGCGGGAGGATCACTTGAGCTCAGGAGTTCGAGACCAGCCTGAGCAAGAGGGAGACCCCGTCTCTACTATAAATAGAAAGAAATTAGCCAAACAACTTAAAAATAGAAAAAAACTTAGCCGGGCACAGTGGTGCCTGCCTGTAGTCCCAGCTACTCGGGAGGCTGAGGCAGGAGGAATACAGGAAAAGAAGTAGAAGAAGGGAATACAAATAAATGTCTGTCGACCTCGATGTGTCATACCCGCAGACTCTGTGTTACAGAAGGGTTAATAGAACTCTTTCCTCATACCTCTTCTCTTTCTCTTCAAATTTTCTATAAGCTTTTCTTCAAAGGAGGCTGAGGCAGGAGGATCAGTTTTTACCAAACAGCAAACCGCTGGAGCTGCGTGAGATGGGAGAGGTCTCTCCGTCACGGGCCACCATCGTCCTTGTCCTCGCCACCAGAGCGACCGTATCTGCTCAGGCTGCCTCACAGACCAAAGATCACCTCCTTGAAAGCACTGTGCGAGCTGCGGCTCACACAGCAGCACACCGGAGCGGCCTGCAGGACTCGCTGGCTCCAGCGGGGCTGCCCACGCCCCAGCCTTTGCCGGCGGGCAGGGGACAGGCAGGGACAGGCAGGACAGGGCAGACAGGGCAGGAAGGCAGGACAGGACAGGGACAGGACAGCAGGACAGGGCAGGACAGGGACAGGACAGGCAGAGGACAGGGGACAGGGCAGGGACAGGGCAGGGACAGGGGCAGGCAGGAGAGAGCAGCTCGGGGTTTTCACCAGGAGGCATCTGGGCAAAGGCTGGGCACGCGGGGCGGGTGCGACTCTGGTTGACTTCTTGTGACTGATTCTGGGCTTTCTCCTCAGCTCCTCGCCCCACGGGTGCTTTTCAGGGCACGGTGTGGGAACCGGGGGCGGGTGATGATCCCGAGAGTTCAGCAGAGTGGCAGCGCCCCAGGGCTGGCACCCCCGCTATGACTCAGCCCCGCCACCCTGGGGGCAGAGTGAGGGCAGCCTCACCTGCGGGGACATCTGGCCTGTTGGAGGCTGAGTCCCTGTCCTCCTGGGTGGAGCGCCCTGCAGGGGGTCCTGGTCCCAAGCAGCCCAGCCTCAGGCACTGGGGGTGGGGTGGGGGAGCAAAGGATGGAAGCCCAGAACGCGCCTGAAGAAGGAGAAGAGGAGAGGAAGCCAAGATTCGAACTCACCCCCTCCTTCCTTGTCATCAAACCAAAAAGCGTGTATCGGGCGTGTGGCTGCATCTTCCAGGAAAGCAGGCCCTGCCTGGGACCTGCGTTCGCTAAAGCTCGTTTTGTTCATTCTAAGAATGAGGCCAGGATGGAAGTCGCTTGCGCAAGGTAATAAAAGCACTGCGCTTTAGCCTGGGTGACAGAGCGAGACCCTGTCTCTAAAATAATAACATAGCAACAGTGGATAAAAAACAAACCTATGTAACATGTTGCACATTTTTATTTATTTTTTTTTGTTGAGACAGAGTCTCACTGTGTTGCCTGGGCTAGAGTGCCGTGGCGTCAGCCTAGCTCACAGCAACCTCCAACTCTGGGCTCAAGCGATCTCC